AGCAAAACGAGAATCTGAATTCCAAGATTGGTCAGCGACCAAGTAGAAGTTTCGAAAAACGTCCGGGAGATGGTGGTTTTATCGATCGTTTCCCTCGCGTTGTCTCGTGCGGTCCTGGGTTCCGTTTTATCTGTTCGCCCACGCACCGTGCACATCGTTCCGGAACAAAACTGATGGCCGCCGCGGTCCTGAAAGGTCGAAAAAGGTTTCCTCTCGGGTAAGATCGTTTTTCTATGCGATAGCTGGGACGAGCAGCTGTGACTGCCGTCCTAAGCCTAGCCTTTGTACCTGCGCGAGCCGGCAGGTGTCGAGACGAAACGCATCTGCCAACCTTGCACGTGTCCCGAAGGGATTTCTGGCCGCGTTTGTGTTCGTGGGTCCGAGCAGGTATCCGACCCGAGCCGTATCTCGCTTCTCTCCTGTATTCTTGCGTCCGTGTGCTGGCGAAACGCTCGACGAACAACCGGTGCGTTCCCGATCGGCGACGTACACGGTGTGTCAACAATATTCCACGATTTAAGTGGAAAAATCACCGTGACGAAAATAAAGGCAATTTTCAATCATTTTTTTGGCCCTAACTATGAAACTTTTTGTGATAAATGTTTAATCTCTTCGAAAGTACGTTTCTTGAACACTACTTCTTGAAAAAATTTCGTACAAAAATATTCATTATTATAGCAGTAATAGGATCAAGCATGAGAGGCCTCGAAAACATTTGTTAGAAACGTCCAATTTTCTTAAACTATAAGACAGTAGTTTCGATTGCATGCACGGATTTTTTAAAATAATTGTTTATTATAAAATGATGGAACTTTGGTGGAAAAATCTTAATAAAATTGTGACAGAATCAATATTTCTTTTGATCGAAAATTCCGTAGGTGCAACTCAAGAGAATAGTATTAGAAACTATCGTATTATACAAAATTTTAAGTAAATCGGATGAAAATTGACTGAGTGTTCTCGACCACTCATGGGAAAAATTTTAATGGGAGATTCTAGAGACCAAAATAATACGAAAATCAAGAGTACCAATTTTTTTATGGAGGCTTCGTTAAAAAGTTGCTAACGTTCAAAGTTCCGCCTGTAGAACGTACGTGCGATAGTCTGCACACTTTAACTTGAAACGTTAATAACTTTTTAACGAAGCCTCAATAAAAAAATTGGTACTCTTGATTTTCGTCTTATTTTGATCTCTAGAATCTCCCATTAAAATTTTTCCCAGGGGTGGTCTAACACCCTGTAATTTGACGCCCAAAATCGTAGGTCCAAACATTCGAATACTTCCATTAACTACCATATTCTTCGATAAAGCAAAAGAATAGCTAAAATCAGTGTGATTTGGAAAAACAATCTGGATTTTAAGCGAGAATAGATCGTTTTTTGACTCGTCAAAGAAGTTGTCCGCGTAAGGAGTCCTGGAAGCTTTCAGGACGCACCTTGTATACAAACGAGGTGAATCCGTTCACCTGCTGATTGTTGCGGTGTGCTCGTATGGCCAGGTGTCTCGAGAAAAATGGAAAAACGCGAGGTCTAGCGAAGGATTAAGGTTCGACCCTTGGCAGAGAGCTAATGATAGGGTTCCAGCAGCAGTGCGGTTTCAGTATCCTTTTATTCCTTTCTCTTCCGTCCGGTCTTCATTCTGTATTCCCCGCTTCTTTCGTCCGTTCCAAGCCCGAACACGCATCTGCTCGAAAGATTCTTCCAATCTCCGGATTGAATACCTTTATGGTCTACTTCCAAGCACCGTAAACTGTTCGGTTTCGCGAGCCAGAGAAATTATTGCTTTCGATCGGACGCATAAATTGAATGGAAAAGCGTGGTACGAGAAAGTTGTCTTTTTTTTTTTTTTATTTCTTCTTTTTTCTTCGTTCGTGAAAAGTGTTATAAAAAGTTTCTCCTTCGAATCGAACTACTTGAAATTCTCACTTCTTACGTAAAGGAATGGCGGCATTTTCATTTTTTCAAATATCTAGTTTCAGCGATAAAGAAACGCAAGGGAGCCTTTCGATGACTAACTCGTTATTGTTTCCATAATTAAGGCAGTGTCTAAAGAGCCTGGAAGCAAGATAGGTGGGTTTTTAATTAACGAATAATCACGATCACCGGTTCGTCCGAAGACAATGGCTCGTGAAAGCGATCTTCGAGTATTGTCGTAGTAAATTGCTGATCGTTAAGGTGGGCTTGATGACTTTCTTCGGGTGCAGTCATCGGTAGGATATCTGATTCATCGTCGTTGAGCTATAGTTTGCGTTACGAACAGACCCGAGCAAAGTTTGAAATAAAAATAAAAAAACAACTGTTTGAAATAATTCATTTTCGAACGTTGCCTGAAAATAAAAATAAACAGTTTTTTTTTATTTCGAATTTTATTAATAAATAATTAACAAAAAGGTATATTGTACGAGATGTTCGATCTCCAAAAAAAAAGTTGTAAACCAGACCCAAAATCGAAATACAATTTTCACCAAAAACGAGGATAATTTGAAATGATTATTGAATAAAATAACGCGTTGTTTGAAATAATATCTGCGAGGTGTACGGTAGCCCCGTCGACCGCAAAGGATTAATAAACGAGTACAACGAACTCTTATCGTTTCACTATATTGGTGACTGTAATTTCATATAGCGTTAAGGTGAAATCGATCACTAAGGAGCTCTCGGTAATTAAGGAAGTCGAAAGGTGCGTAGAGCGTACCGGCCGACGAGCTTTCCGTTTTGCTAAACGAACTTAGGCGCGTCTGGAAGTAACGGGGCACCGCCATTGGTTTCTCGACGTGTCCGTGGGTTCATTATCAATGTCGAAACGTGCACGGTAACCTTGTGTCATTAGATCACACGGGTCAACGTACCTTTCCACGAGGATGTGTTTACCGTGGAAAGTGTTCCGACGCCATTGTTCGCGTTTCTTTGACAACTGCGCGACGGAAATGGAACAACACGCGTCACCGTGCGCTTCGCTAACGTTTCCGTTTACAAGACATTCCCAATAATGCTGGCTTTACGCGATATTTATCGCTCGAAACGGTACAACATCATTTTTTCAACACATTCACGCTTCCCGTTTCCTGATTCTTTCTCAAAATATCACGAAACGTTGGTAAACATTACAGCGAGTCTCAAAAAGTTTAAGAATGATTTTAGAGGGCAAAATAAGATCGAGGTTTCGTTAAAAAGTTATTAACGTTTAAAGTTCCGTCCCTACGAAGTACTAATTTTTAATTCAATTTAAATATAAAACAATATTCTTAATGTGTACGATTTTAGCTGTGGAATGTTTTGTTATTTACAATATATGTCCGCCGTATTTTGTTTTCCAAATCATTCCTAAACTTTTTTTTTTAGAACGAAACATTTTCACACATGCGATGTACAATTTTGACTGTGGCTCACTGTAACGCCAAAAACAAAATAAAAACTGCTAAAAGTAAATTAAATCAAACAAAATTTGTTTTGGATAATCGTCGTTTGAAAATTTGAATTGTACTCTCGAACAAATTAATCTTGTGCAAACGAGCTGAGAGTCGTGTTCCACTCTCCTGTAATTAAAAGACGTCGACGCGCGGAACGGATAAAATAAAATAAATATTAAGCTCCCGTCGATCCCCCGTTGCAATCGTAAAAACAGTAATGGCGTACATTCTCGATTTACTTTCGTTTCTAATACCGTGGTTGATGGATGCGCGACTGTTACGACTGTTCGTAGCCAAGTTTCTTCGGTGTCTAATTTTCTAAAATCTGAAAAACCGTCCTCGATACCTATCAGCTTACCTCGCACATATTTTACACGTCGAAAAATGATAGGCTTCTCGGTTCTTTTCCAGTCGTAACCGACATGCTGCTGCGAGGTTTCGTTACAGCTCGTTTCCAATACAAGAGAATTTATGTCGACGGTTTGCGTTATGACGTGAAAGCGTGCATCTCTCGTTTGCTGCGACTCGCCGCTGTTCCTATTTCGATTGTGCCGCGAACGCCACCTGTCATGGCGCGCGAAGAAAAATAATGCCTCCGAGCGACCACGGTCTCGTCCACACTTTCACGCGAATCATTATTTTATTGAAATCGAAAATCTATCATACGTTTTACGTAAATAATACACATCGTTGAGAACACACTTGGATCCGTTCCTTTTATGAGCCATTGTGTATAGGTTCGAGAAAAGCTAATTAGCTCCTTATTGCCCACGCCTGCTCTTGACACAAACCCATATCAGACTTGGCGCGTTCTACTTCACTTTCTTCAGCCGTTGATCGGCCTCTGATCTTGAAAGATATAAGTTTGTAATATCAACATCGTCCAGTGGGCTTATTGTTGATTTAAAAAGGATGTTTGCTGCTATTTCTGTTAATGTCTCTATTTTAATCCAAAATATGATACGCGTATCGTTTGTGGAAGTTGGTGGAAATACTTAAATAATACGATAGGACATCAAAGATTACAAAGATCACGTCGCATAGGTTATGTTCAGCTGAGCCAGCTTCGCTCCTTGGACTTGTGTTATTTTTTCTTTCAACGAACGAGATTCAAATGTATCGGATTAACACGTTCACTGCCAGATGAAAACTGTATAATATTCTAGAAGGTTAAAATTTTGATTTTACACCATTGTAACCTGCATAACCTAAAATTTGTTTCGGTACTTATTTTCATAACCTTGTTAAAATTCACAACTTCCATCCAAATTTGTTTTCTTCGACGTCTTAACTTGAGAATTAATATTTCTGGTATCATAGTGGTAAATATATGGGTGACGTGGCAATTAAAACGTTAAACAGTTAGTTATCGGTGAAATTGTACGAGTCCATCGAATCTGAGGTTGCTACAATTCTGCCTTACCGACCGAGCATCATCTTTTTCTTTCTTTTTCTAAAACGAGGCTGTCATTAATTCCCTCTTAGCCTCGTATTTCATTCGTGATTTAACGACGGCAGGTCGTATTCTCATTATCATTGAAAAAGTACGCCCCCGGCATTGTCCTAACGTGCGCCGATATTTCATTTCAGAGTCCTGGAACGTTGCACAAAGATGTCGGTGGTGCTGGTACCAAGGTCAGTGGAAAGACGGTCGGCGGTGTCGGGACTGCAACCCTCACCACACTCTCCTCCATTTATAATACATCCAACACCAGCCGGAACAAAAACAACATCCCTGTATCTCAAGAGGTAAGTCGAGATACCGTGTGCTCGAGTAGACGATAGCTCGGGACACTCCAGAGAGATCGTTCCGCGACAATTAACCGTCGCAGGTGCACAGATCCTCTCGATCGATTTATATCGAATCGACGAAGTCAACGAAGACCAACTTCCGGCTCTTTTAAACGTTAATAATTTGTGATTATTCGAACAGAGAATTTTATACGAATAAAATAATAGTTACAACAATAATTCGTTAATAATTCGTTCGTGATTATTCGAGATTATTCGGACAGAGAATTTTATACGAATAATAATTACAATAATAATTCGCTAATAATTCGTTCGTGATTATTCGAGATTATTCGGACAGAGAATTTTATACGAATAATAATTACAACAATAATTCGTTAATAATTTGTGATTATTCGAGATTGTTCGAACAGAGAATTTTATACGAATAATAATCAGAAGAATAGTTATTCGGTTAAATTTTTATTTGTTCCAGGCAAAAAATAATTTCATTCTATAAATCAGATTTTGATATTTATCCGAGCATCGTTTTCGAACAGGCTATTTTTTATGTAAACGAACGTTATAAAATACCGAACAAGACTTTGACATTGAGCGAAAAAGTATAAAACACATAAATCTTGGCGCTCAAGACTGGAGATTCTTAAATGTATGTTATTCGACTTCGAACCTTTACATTTTCATTTATGTAAGCATAATTGCTGAGCGCTGTTGGGCGTTTACGACACGCGCGTGGATTTGCAGGTTCGAGCTATAAAAATTCAATCTACAGGTAAATTCATCGAGAACTTTCGATCGTTAATATTTTTCAAAGCCTGTTACACATATAAATGAGTGTATATTTTTCGTATTGGTCGAGTACGCTCCTCGAGAAATAGAGTTTTCACGCTGGTCGTTTCGAATTCGATCGAAGAAAAATTCAGTGGTACAAGGCGAGTTACGTTCGAGACAAATTGCTGTCGGTCGATTACGTTGCCGTGTAGAAAATTGAGCAACTTGCCTCGAACACCGCCGCCTGCCGTTCAATCTGGAACGGATTAAAAAGTTTGGCAACTTTCGAACGCTGCCAAATTATTAATAACGTCAATTTCAACGTCAAGTCTGCCGCGTATAGCCATTTTTCTCGCTCACTCGCATTATAATCGAGAAATTTTCGTGAGATTGGTTCGATCTATTATCCTCTCTAGAAGAAAACAAAACAATTCGTCGAATATTAAATATAAAGTTCGACGAGTCATTCTGAATCACGAACATCTAAGAATCGATTCGAGCATCGATAGTCGGGGAAATGATAGATTTTCTATCAAATCGATTCACAATCAGTATCGAATATCTGTATTCTTTCTCCATTGTTCGCGAGTCCCTAGAAGCATCGTGAGTCAGCTTCTTCCGATTCGATCGATTAATCCGTAGACGTCGGTAACGATTATTTCTTTCACTTATCGCGACCTCGTGGGTCGAGCTACGGTTTCCAGTTTCTCCGCGATACGAATTGTGCCACGTCACTGCCATTTGTCTCCTTAATGTTCTTTTTTTTTTTTCCATGCCGTTATTACGAGTCAAAGATGATCGAATTTCGTTGCGTCGCTCGCGTTGCGCAACCAAGGCGACGCTCGCCGCCTTTTGCACCGGTAAAAAAAACACTGCAAAGGCATGCAACACGGTGCGCTGTTGCTCGCGATGCACGCCTCTGGAAACGCGCATGCGCACATCTAGTTAGACCTATCGATAAATGTCGAAACATTATCAACGATTCGACGTATCGATAAATTATAAATATAATTTAATTTAATTCTTGCCAGTGATCAAAACGTACTATATTTTGAGCAGTATACTTTGACCGGAGGAAAGTATGGTTGTCGAGATATTTGCGTAAATAAACGTCCAACATTTTATTTTTGACGCTTCGAGTAATTTCTCCGCGACGAAAAAAGAAACGAAACGTTTCTGTTAAGAAAAAGCGTGATCGATCGCGGCTACGAAACCGATCAAACGAGTCCACCGTGGAATGTTTAACACGCGTTTCGAAACGTTCGAGGAAGGAACGCGTTCCCGACTAAGTACAAGGGACGTATTATACAATTGCAAGAGGATCGTTGCCGAGTGTCAATCGACGATTGTTTCAAATTCCACGGGTGTCGGTTTCCACCGAGATCCGTTTAATCGGTTTTATCGCGCCAATTACGTTTTACGGTACACGTAACACCGGATAAATTATATACCGATGCCTCGGATAACACGAATGCGATAACGGAACGTAAATAATACGGATTACAGCGATGCATCTTCGACATAATGACCATTCGCAAATCGCGGTCAGAAACATTATAACTGCGATAATATAGTATACCTATCTGCTAATAATATATTATAACTTTTCACCTCTGATACCGTTCCACCAATATAATTGCTCTTTTCGTACAATTTTATTTAACTTCGTTCGTAAACACCAAATTAATATTTAAATTTTTTCGATACGGGTATCGTAAAGTTCATTGCTGACACCTTGTACATCGATATTGCTTTAAAGAAGCATCAATGTTACAGGGAAAGCGATTAGTCGACGTCTTCGTGAAACGGTGATTTACCAAGGCTATTAAGCCAACGGTGAATGCAATCAAAAATTGTAATCGACTAGATTCGACGATTTTATGAAATTTCCAATCATCTCCGGCGAAAGTTTCTTTTGTGACTCTCGTTCGTAACACGCATTCTGCACTTTCTAAGGCCTGTGACTTTTATTCGTACGCTTTAACCGATTTGACATCGTTAAGAAACGTTGCTGGTCCCTTTCTCGAAATATAAAAAAACGTTCTTGATGCTACTTTCTTGGACGATAATTCGAGGATCTTATCCGCGTTGGAACTTTCTTCCGACGAGATATGCCCGGGTCTTGGACGAAGCTAACTGTAATACTGACGTAACATCGCGTCAGCCTTCGAACAGGTACGACTGACACCTGGAAACCTTTGGCTGATTTTAACGCTTTGGAAGTTTCTCACAAGGGGACCCTACACGCGTGGAAATTGCTTTTCTAACGATACCAGGTACAAGTTGTACCTACAAATCTGTATACATATACTATAACTTGCACTTGCTATATTTTCAAAAGCAATTATCACGACTGTAAGGAGTCCCCTTGTCAGTTTTAAGTTTACCGGTATTAAATATTATCTATACTATTATATAAAGAGAGAGCCGATTTTTATGTTCGCGCAAAACTCAAGACCTATTGAACCCATCTTCCTCAAATTTTGTCACGTTATTCCTGCATACTCTAGGACGGACATAGGCTATGTAGCATGTCTCAGAAGCGCGTTATTAACATGTAATTTATATGCAAAGATTTCATGTGTACGACTGTTTGGCAGACCACATGACCCCTGTATACGACAGTCTACATGCGCGTATTCGGCCCGCGCGATACCTCGCCCGTAGCAGTACTGCGATGTTACCGCCAGGTGGCGAAGCTTCTCCAGCGCTTTCTCGCGAGAGAATTGCATTATCGCGGATATATATGTCAGGACGATCGTCTGGTCATAAATTGCTTTTGCACAAGGTCAAAATTAAAATCAAATACATGCTAGTATTTAATATTAGTATTATTAATATTATATTCAAGGTATTAAAAATCAAAAATTAAATTTTAATCAAGAATTATGAAAATATGATTGTTGTTACTTTCAAGTCTAGCGGAAAGCCTGATACTTTGTATTTCAAATGTTTTAACGTTGTTTATCGTTGCACGAGGAAAGAAACGTTTTTGATAAGTGGATTTTTGGCGAATAGGTGAATCTATTGTCTTTCCATGTCGCTGTGCCGTGTCGATAGAAAGGCATAATTTTTCCAACAGGCGTGTTTTCTCTCGTATGCACGTTTTCGTGTACACGCGCATCGTCGAGTTACCGTTATCTCCATACGCACTTTGACTTTATGCGCCCGTGCATATGTGGGTCTCCCGGGTGCACTTATACCTATGCTAATGGAGATATCCATTTGTCCGTTCGATTATAAGGCCGCGTGCACGAGCGAAAGCGCCGCGACGTTAACGTCTCTGCGCCTTCGTTTGGCCCCCTGGCGGATCGCTTCTCCATTTTGCGGTTACTTAAGGGGGGAACCTCATGTAAATGGCCTGTTTTTCAAGAATTTTTTTTGAAAAATCCAATGCACAGATTCATTTAAAATTTGAAGTATCATTTATTAACGTTATAATGTAAAGAAAAATATTTTTTATAAATTTTAATTGTTAATAACAATGGTGCAATGGTGGCTTGAAAATGGCATCCTGTAAATTCGCCGTGCAAAGCTACAATGCACAAAAATGATCTGAAACAAAAAAATCAAAATAGAATAGTTAGTTTATGCAGAAACGCTCAGCATGACATTCTTCTTTTGTTAAAATTTGCAAAATTGCAAAAATGGCGAAGGTTTGAAAAAATAACCGGATTTTTGATTATGAACAATTGTTAATAACAAGGTTTTAAGTAAAAAATAAAAAAAAAAAGATGCTCAAAAATTTCATTTTACATGAGGTTCCCCCCTTAACGTTTAACCATCCACTTGTTACCTGACGGATGATTAAAAACACCTCTACACCCGCCACGTTTACCATTAATTTCCCCCAGCACGCCTACGTGGAAAATGGAACGCATAAAAAAATTTCTACGAAAAATCGTTATCTATTTACTGAACACACTCTACATATTTCGTGTATTGTGTATATTTTACACGCTCTATTAACACGTATACCCATCGAATACTATGAAACACATACAAACGAATCTGTTTTGAACATAAAATACGAAATTATTCGAAAGAAAAGGAAAGATAAATGATTATTTTTAATCACACTAATTTTGAGTATTCCCTAGAAATGTTTACACCGTTTACGTTATGTATAGTCTAACGGGAGTCCTTGACGTCGATTATCGCGTAGAAACAAAGAAATCCTGCGGATAGCAGACGCAAATCTGGAAAACACAATTACTCGGTATTCG